TGGATAGTTTAAGTTAGCTTAATACTGTAAGCAGATCTGTTGTTCAGAAAGTGTTCATACAGCATGCTGAAGACAATATACAGCAACTAGATCAAAGTTACATTGCCAATTTACCTGTATTAACCTAATTCTTATTTTAACGTGCATGAAAAATAGAGATAAAATTTACATTAAAACAAAACATTTTTTTTTGGAATAGTAATATTGTAAACAAAGAAGAAATGTTGAAACACCAGGTTTCACCAAAGAATCAGATTACTGAATTCTAGAGACTTTTTTGGATGTTACTTGCTGGTTAATTTTTCATTAATATTTATTGATAAATATAAAATTATAGAGTACACATACATTCTCAGTTAGAAGGGGCTTGCTTAAATATATATTGCCTTATCTCATTAAATGGGTTTCTTTTTCTGAATTTATTTTAAACATATAGCAATTTATTTAGTGCCTTCATATACAACATCACAAACATACTTTTTAAAAAACTGAAATGCCTAATGAAAGAAATTGTTCTCACTCCCTTGAGCTAATGTAAATATCTATGGGGATTCTACTATAGATATATTCTTTTTCAAGTACTTAGTAGGGCTACACGTAGTATCTGAAATAGCTGCTTTGGAAAGCACAGGCACAAGCAAAGCAACCATTCTTACAGTGCTAAAGTAGCCATGTCTTCTGGAAAACTCAACACAACTGCTTTGAAGGCTTTCCCTGGTTGTTTCTGCATGCCTCTTCAAATACAGCTGCTTCACTGGTAGTCTCAATGGAAGTGTTGTCTATGTACACACACTAATGTAAAGACAATTAGAGAAAATCTTTCACAGAGTTGTGCTGAGCCTTCTGGGGGACACCACTACTTTAATATTCCGAGAATGAGTGCTTTGCTTGCATCAATGCACTGAGAAATAACCCTTTTGGATATGTACTGCCTGGTTAAAGATTATACAGCACAGCAAAATCTGGATAATTTAGAGAGATTACGTTCCTCCCAGAGAGTAAAAAAAAAAAAAGTTTAAATGCTTTTCAAAGTGGCTAAGCCACCAAACCTAGAGGCTTTTGTTGACTTATTAAATCTTAGTAGTGTAGGGAATTGTGCTTTTAATTCTTGGATTGGATGTCACACTACTATAATCTCCTCCATGCCTGGTTTACCTACCTTCATGAAGGGACAGGCAAAACAGGAACAAATGGATAGAGTCTGCCACCATTTCATTTTGTAGTTTAGTCAGAATTCTTGATTTGCCTCAAGTCACACGTTACATTTATTACTATGGACTCACCTCTGTACCTAAGAACTAGCAAATTATTAGAAATGTTACATACACACACACAATCTGATCATCCACTGAACCTACGTGTGATCTTTGTTCTTCTGTTTCAAGGATTTCCAACATTTTTTGGGCCAATGGACACACTTAGAATTTTGGGAGCATATTATGGGCACTTTTACTGAAGCCACCTATTCTTATCTTCTAAGCCTGTCTATGGAATCATAAGGCATAGCTGAAATCCAACTTATACTCAAGGCTGGTGGTTTGCTTTGCAGCGTGATAGTTTTCCATTGTTTCCCAGTTAAAACTATCTACAAACAACATTTAGCAGGCAAGAGTTTGATAGGCACCAAGAAACGTATCAATGGGCACGTTGTCATTTCAGGGCTCCCAGCATTACCTATGCATCTTAACATGCTGGGTTTCAAGCTTTGCATAGAAAGCAATTACTTTCTGTCTCCTTAATAAATACAGTTTTCCATCCTTTGCTCATGTAAGCTATGTTCATGTGTAACTCAATCATATATGCTCTTTCACAACCTATTCCTACTTTATTCAAAGGTTTATGTAAATATGGATGGGATTAGCCAAAGAAGCAATGTTACTCATTCTATGTATATCATAGGAAACAGAAAAAATGTTACATCCTTAAGCAAAAATAATGCTGCAGTATAAATAGTATGTGGGATAAATGGCCAAAAGTTTAGATTCTGCTATTTTTTGGGTGAAGATTCTATTTAAGAGCAAGCCAATATTATTAGCATTCCTTTTTACTGAGAAAATAAACTAAAATGTATCAACATAACCCACTTTGAGATTAAGTAATCAACTTTTTCCATTTCAAGAGGAATCTTTCTTGAAATCTCTTGAATGCTACCATGTTCCAAGCTGCATCCTTGTGATTACTCTTCAGTTTTCTTCTGCTCTTGAGCCAAGCCATCAGGTTTCTGATAATCAGGATACTGTTTATCTGCCCAAATTATTGTAAATAGGCAAAACCATCTCTTCCATGCTAAACACTGATTTAATCAAAAAGCTAGGATGCAAAAAGTACTTACCTGTAAACTTTACAGTGTAAAGAGCTCCATGTAAGCCAGGCTCACCCTCATATGCACTATTTATAGGCCATCATGGCTATATATGGCCAACATGAAAAACACTGCAAGTGTGGGGGACAATAGAAGAGTTAAGAACATTTTGAACCTAATATCCCTGAATTGCACTGAGTTGCCCATTAAGGCTTTTTTTCCAGGCATACTACATCTCATATACATGTAGTTCCTAGTTAATTATGACTGAGAACCAACTACAACTTTATCACCATTCCAGCAATCAATTTAAGTTTTACCCTTACTTCAGAACTGTATATATGTACACACAGTCATGACATCTGGCACCAACTGTTGTTGGGCAGACTTGGTACTAGTGTGAAGCTAACTATATAGTCCATTTCATTAGCAATTCCTATTTGTCACTAAAAGAAAGGTGATCTTCATGCCATAACAACATGAGTTTATTGTGAACAATGATACTTCATTTCTTTCCTCATGGAGGTGAATGCTTTCCACAAACAATTGTAGAACTCAGGTAAATAGTTTTCAAAGTTTGTCATCAACACCAAACACAAATACATGCGTTCATAGATCTCCAGGTATTGCAGGTTTCGCACTAGGGCTACATAAAGTGTATCTTTATTGCCATTATGCAGAATAACTATATACCTCTTGGCTTACTGCAAAACAATCCAAGCATGAACAGAAAGGGAAAGGAACTTACTTGTATGGAAACAATGCTTTCATATTTTTAAGTCAATGAAGATTTACTAGGAACATCCAGATGCTTATTAGTTCCACAAGCAAGTTTCTTTAAAATTGAAAAAAAAGCCTGCATTTAACTATGTTAAGATTACAGATAAAATATAAATGTATACTTTGATCTTCTCAAAGATTCATAATTAATATTATCACAACAAAATTCTCTACAGGTTCATTCCTTAAAGACTTAATATGAGATCTCACATAAATGCTGCCAGAGTAGACAAAAATTAACAACCTACCTTTCAGTCCAATCTATTTTAAAGTAAAATTATATAAACCAAGGAGAATAGTAAAAAGAACAGGTATTATAAAAGTGCAAAGAATATTTACCATAGTAAATATTTTAGAATGTATGCATATTAAGTAGTTCATATCATGTAATTTCTGGGATTGTAAGGTTTAAAATCTTTGGAAATCAAAGACTTGCAACCATCACATTCCTGGTACAGGCTTCCAGACATTAAGGGACCGTCTAAAGAATTATGGATGCACAGGAAAGGATGGTCAAGGCTAGGGCATCGACATAACTAGATACGGATATTTTTGTTGAAAAAAAATGTGTAAAACCCTCCGCAGATAATCTAGAAACCATGTAAATGAAGGTGCAGATACCCAGCCACCACTTTTACAGAGAACGACTCCCACTTTTTGTGGATCGGGGAAAAAGCTTTGTGAGAAATCCTGCACGGGAAACAGAGTAAGACGCAAGCCAGAGAAGCGCCTCTCCGCAGGGCGGGGGGAGTCATGGCGGGAAAGCTTTTCACTCCGAGATACCTCCGCCTTCATAAGGAAGGCTCCTTGTAGCCGGGCAGCAGTTCATTGGCCAGACTGCACATCAATCAAACAGCACCGGACCAACCCTCCCGAAGACAAACGCAGCACCCCCGTTGGTTAAAATGCCTGTTACTTCACACTCCACATCTCAACGCTCTTACGCTCTTAACTGCCTCAAGCTTTCACTCATTCAGCTGTCACTCACTTTCGAGGGCCCCGCCCAAGATGCAAGCCCCGCCCTCCCCCCAACGGTACCTCACGGCTCAGTCAATCAGGCTCCCAATCACGCCGAAACCACGCCCCCTCCCGTAGAATCACTGGCTCTCGGTAACGCGCTACCCGTCAAGACTGTTTCCCGTGGTCGCTCACCTGGGGAAAGTAACGGCTCGGTGCGAAACCAACTTCCCCCTCCCTGGTTTGTACCCCCTCACAGCCACCGCTTCTGCGCAACGCCCGCCAAAACAGCTTTCTAGTGCGCACGCGCTAGCCCCTCCGCCCCCTTCCCAGCTTCACCGCGCTGGCGTGAGGCGCGCGCACCTCCTTAGTATCGTCCACAACCACCATTTCCCCCCCCTTCGGCGGATATATTTCAAGACGCATGCGCATATGTACAGTACGCCTCACCGTGTACGCCTGCCTGGAAGCAAGTTTTATACATAAAACGATCTTTTTTCCCCTTCTACCCTGGCATGTACCTTCACCACCACAGGGATGAATATAGTTCTAACCACCGACCCAAACCGTTTAGAGCACCAACTTAATTCCCGCCTCTATAACAATGAATGAAGAGAAAACGGGCCAATCTCTAAAAAGATGGCCGGCAGTAAAAACCAATCAGAAGAAGTTACGCTCCGAAGTGCCCAATCAGAAGGAAGCAATGTGAAGGAGAAGGGTGTTGCCTTGCAGCTGGAGCTCCAGGAGTACAGGGCGGGAAAATTCACCAAAGCAAAGGAGTGACAGAAATCCAACCAATAGAAAGGCAAAGAAGGTGGGAAAATGACGAGAAATGGGCGTAACCTTTACGTGTTCATCCACTAGGAGGCAGACTATTTGCTCATTGCCCAATGGGAATCGACAAAAGCTACACAGCCATCCAATGAGAATGGGCGGGGGTGGGTGTTGATAGTGAGGCGGCGGCGCACGGGTGACTCTGCCCCTTTCGGTATCGGGTACAGCGAGAGGTAGCGTCGTTCGTGAAGAAGAGTGGCCTTACCCATTTGCTGCCGCCAACATGTCGAAGTCTGAGGTAAGAGCCTATAATGGGCGCTTTTATTCTGTTCTTTCGACTCTAAACCAGTGGCTTGTTTTTGTGGAATTATGTCTCCTTTGCCTTTAGGGATCGTCTGATTATGGGTGCGATTTGTCGCCTAACGCAGTAAGTGTTACAAATACCGTTTTTCCCCCTCATTCCCGCTCCTGAAATGCATTGTTTTTATTTTGCACTCGTCTTTTCCGCCGCTCGCCTGCGTTTGGCTTTCTGACTCCTTTTTGTAGTAGGTCTTCCTTTCTTCCCCGGTTGGGCCTACGTCCCCCCCCCCGGTGCCTTCAAACTACGCATGCGCGTTGTCTTGCCTAGCTTAGGCGCCATCTTTTCCAGTGCGTGGCGTTCACAGCTATCTCCGGCGGTCGTAATGGCTGCGCTTGCGCTGTGCGGCGGGCGGAACTATAGATGCACGCACGCGCCTGCGCACTTTACTGACCAGTTTGGGGGTTGCGTGCGGGGGATGGGACGATGCGAACGCCACGTGCTCACTCGCTTTGTCTTCACTGGCCCGTTTTCCGGCCCTTAATTTAACATTTCTCCGCTCCAACTTGCCTGTGCAAATGGGAAGAGGCGACCTGTTGGGTCTCCTTTTCCCCTTTCTTTCCTTCAAATGATTTTTGTGTGGGGGGTGAGAAAAGGATGCATGCTCATTCTGAAGCGAGTCTTCTTGTATCCGAGAAAGCTCCAGTTAAATACATTAAAAGATTGAAAGCACTTACATTGACAAGTAGGGGTGCTCAGAAAGCGTGTTCCCTGTCATTGTATGTGTCTTGTTCTCTCATCAGAAGTTTTAAGGTTGCTAGAATGTTGCCGTTCTGTAATTTGAATGTAATCTCGCCTTTTTTTTTCCTGAAATGAATGGTGTGTTTACTCTAAGTATCATATAAGAACTACTTTGCTGGAAACACTAAAATACACCTGAATTTGGGGGAAGGGGGATACGTTTATTAAGACAATGATGTTTTTTGTAGGCCTAATAAGCATATGAATTGCCTTAAAAGCAAGCTGCAAAAGGACAGCTTGTTGTATTTCTACTTATTTGGGCACATCAGAACTGGTGGCTTTGTTCCTAAAATATATTCCTTATAGGGTGTAACAGTACCAATAATGTATATGCTTTAGGTAGCTTAATTGCATTGGTGCTGCATGTTAACATTAGTGTTCTGTCTTAGAATTCTATTTAGAATGATAACAAGCAAAGTAGTTAATTATTTCAGGGTGAAAGATTGGTCCATTCTGCTGTCATAAAATGCAAAGAAAAAATAGGGCGTACTGGATGATCTCCACATTACTTAGGTTTTTATCTAGTAACTGCAAAAGCTAAACACACACACCAGGAAGCCTGGAATAGATTTTTGTGTGAAAAAGATTTGTGAGCTTGGTTCTGGTACTGACAACAGCTATATTGCCTGTGCATGTGGCTAAAAGCACTCTGTTTCTTAATTATTAGCTAACTTCTGCAAACCTGATCCTGCACTTTTCACCTGGCTCTGGCTGGTGGGGCCTAGTATTCTAATAAAATGCTGAATAAATCATGCAGACTTTCAGTATGGCCTCCCATTATATGATGTATCTGAGTGCTGTGATAGTATCCTTCCTACTCTTGCCCTGCTTCTCTATTTCAGTCCCCCAAGGAACCTGAACAGCTGCGTAAACTGTTTATTGGTGGCCTCAGTTTTGAAACAACAGATGAGAGCCTTCGCAATCATTTTGAGCAATGGGGCACACTTACAGATTGTGTGGTAAGTATATGTGTTAATTTGTGGACTTTGTATTTTGCCTGAATTACCAGGTAGAGTAAAAAAGGGATACAGGACTTTGTAGATTCAGGACTAGTAAGTAGGATACTCAGAAAAAGAAGGAAAACTCCCACCTACTAGATAAAATACTAACTTTGCTTTTTTTTTTTTCTCCTGGAATTAAGGCAGTAATATATTAATACAGGGCAATTTGTTTTTTCTAAATTAAATATGGATTGAACCACACATTCAAACCTTTGTTTGAAGACATGATATGTGTATTGTATATTTTATAGCAAGGCTGTAAGATGTATGTTTCTTCTTAGGTAATGAGAGACCCAAATACTAAGCGCTCCAGGGGGTTTGGATTTGTCACCTACTCAACAGTGGAAGAGGTTGATGCTGCCATGAATGCCAGACCGCACAAGGTTGATGGTAGAGTTGTTGAACCAAAGAGAGCAGTATCCAGAGAAGTAAGAACTACTGTTGGATGCATAGTCAAAAGGTTCAAAGAATTAGCAAGAATGCTGGAAGCCCAAGACATTGCAGCCCATGTATCCTACACAGAGTAGCAATAACATTGTTGGTTCAATAGTTACTGCTGCATTAGTTATCTTTCGTTTAAATTAAATTATTGTTTCTTACATGTTTTTATGGTTGCTGTTGTGAGCTATGCAAAGTTGGGATAGATAAGATGGATGGTCATGTAGGTTTTCTTAAATAAGTTCTCCTTTTTTAAAATTAACCATGAATTGCATTTGGGAGGAAAACGGAATTTAGTAAGTGTATTAACTAGACTTCCCTTCCTTCTACTCTACCAGTAGCTATGTTGGCTGAGATTGAAATGAGTTGTGTTTCTGCAGTGCCAGCTTGGGGAAATAAATTCACGGTTATAACCACTTTAAAATTTGCAATTCATAGGTTTGAAATTTTAGATATTCATGTCTTTAAGATGCATCATGTGTTCTCTGGCAGTAAGGATAATTACCAAGTAGCTAAGTGAAGCATATTAGATTACAAATACTGGATTTTCAAATGTTTTTGTCCTGCCTCATTATAGGATTCTCAGAGACCTGGAGCCCACTTGACAGTGAAGAAAATCTTTGTTGGGGGGATTAAGGAAGATACAGAGGAACACCATTTGAGGGACTACTTTGAACAGTATGGCAAGATTGAAGTTATAGAGATAATGACTGATCGTGGCAGTGGCAAAAAGAGAGGGTTTGCCTTTGTTACTTTTGATGATCATGACTCTGTGGACAAGATTGTCAGTAAGTGTCTCATTTCATTCTTCCAGCTGTGTTTCAACTTGCTGTGTGTTCTCTTTATGTAGTTTCTAAGATTTTGATGCCATTTTATCTTTTCATGTCTAGTTCAGAAATACCATACTGTAAATGGGCATAATTGTGAAGTCAGGAAAGCTTTGTCAAAACAGGAAATGGCCAGTGCCTCTTCCAGTCAGCGAGGTAAGTGTGCAGTACTTAAACACAGACACATCTGTAGTGATATTTTCCAGGAATACTACCTGTGGTTGTTCTTCTTAGGTCGTAGTAGCTCTGGAAGCTTTGGCAGTGGGCGTGGAGGTGGATTTGGCAGTGGTGATAATTTCAACCGTGGCAGCAACTTCGGAGGCCGTGGTGAGTAAGGTTTTTAAAGTTTGGTTCACTTTAAGACCTTAATCACAGTAAGGGCTTAAAGGAATACATTGTTGCATCTTACCTAGATTACTAGATTTCTTGATAGGATTGAGCAGTGCTTTGAATTGGTGTATCTTTTCCATGTACTTTTAATTTTTTATACAAATACCAAACTTATGTGCTTGTGATTTTGCTGAGTGGGTGTACTGAAGTTCACCATCAATCTGAAATAAGATCAAAATGCTAATAAGTATCTTGTTTTTCCTCAGGTGGGTTTGGCAGCCGCAGCGGTGGTGGCGGCGGGGGATATGGGGGCAGCGGAGATGGCTATAATGGGTTTGGCAATGATGGTAAGATCATGCAGCTTTTGTAAATTGCTGTAGTAGACTTTTATATGGCTGTCATTTAATAGTGTTGATTTATTTTTAGGACATAGGTATCTTTAATATAGCATATGAGTAAAAACAGTCCAATAGTCCAATTTTTCAGCCTCCTTTCAGCAGTGCAGTTGTAAGTTGCCCAGTGAGTTGTAGAGGATAATTACCAACTGAACAAGAATTTTTATCTCTACTCTGATGCTTTTTCTTCCTCATACAGCAGAAAGATGGCCTTTCTGTGGACTTTTAAGTTCATTTTAAATAGAGATTGTAAAGTATGCATCTATTTTTGTGATAGGCAGTGCTATCCTGCAATTATTTAATAGAACAGTGTCTTGTCTGTTTTGTAGGTTATGGAGGCAGTGGCCCTGGATACTCTGGAGGAAGCCGGGGTTATGGTGGCAGCGGAAGCTATGATGGATACAACAATGGAGGTGGTGGCTTTGGCGGTGGCAGTGGAGGTAAATGTCATGTTGATTTTGAGTGTTAAAATTACCAATTTATGTACTAGAATTTTAGCTGGAATGCTAAGGTGTTATAATAGGGAATATCTGCCAGGGCTGATATGTCTAGATGATAGCAAAAAGATACATAAAACCAAATCTTTGCTGCCATCTATTAGTGGTATGAATTTTTGCAGTCTAGTATGGTAGTCTTAGCATGTGCCTTCATTTAAACATGCCCAGTATGTTTGGGAAAATGTATCTAGACAGAGTTAAATATAACAAGGAATTAGTGTTCCTTGTTTTATAGATGTAAAATTTTGGGCCTTGTAGATGAGTGGATGTTTTTTATTCTGTCCAGGGAGCAACTTTGGAGGTGGTGGAAGCTACAATGACTTTGGCAGTTACAATAACCAGTCTTCAAATTTTGGGCCCATGAAAGGAGGAAACTTTGGAGGCAGGAGCTCTGGTCCGTATGGTGGAAGTGGTGGTAAGTGTATGATCTAATTGACTAGAGAGAAAATGGATCATGTTAATTTCTCATTGAATTCTTGAATGGTAGGCATGAAAAACTGAGGTCAACCACTCAGTTTCTTCATTCTTTCTCTTTATAAAGACTGTTGTATTCTGTTCTTTCTAAACAATCTCTCATTCTTCTGACCTATTCCCATTTAAGATAACGAACATTGCCTCTTCTCCCTTTAGTCTCTTACTGCATAAGAAAAGGAAACTTTTCTTTTTTTTAAGGTGGCTATGGTGGCTCTGGTAGTGGCAGTAGCTATGGTGGTGGAAGGCGGTTTTAATTCCTAGGTAAGACTTTCTCCATTTGCTCATGGATAAATATGCAGTGCTAAATGAATTGTAACAGTAACTCATAATGTGGCTGAGCAAGTTATTGTAGTTTAAGCATATTTGGAATAAAATGCAGATGTTAAAGCTAATATATGGACTGGCAATCGGGGGAACAAACTTGATATTGGATTATAGCCTTGAGTCTCAATATGTTTAGATTAACAACTTTATTCCATATTATTCAACAGGAAACAAAGCTTAGCAGGAGAGGAGAGCCAGAGAAGTGACAGGGAAGCTACAGGTTACCACAGTTGTGAACTCAGCCAAACACAGTTGTGGCAGGGTAGAACTGCCTCATGAAGACATGTGTTAGACAAGCGCTTGTTTGCAAACATCAGGACTGTATTTGTGACTAACTGTATAACAGGATATTTTAGTTTTTGTGTTCTGTGGAAAGTGCAAAGCATTCCAACCAGGGTTTTTAT